CGCGTAACTCGGGGCTACGCACGATCGTGCATCCAAGACGCACGGTCGTGCGTCTGTGTTCTTCATCCTTTTCTCTAGTCTGAATTTGACAAAACTTCCTTCATCAAAGTTTTAGATAATGAAGTCCTCTATCCACCCCAACTTGCCGAATGTGATTTGAATCATCTAATCAAGAGATATGATCCAAACGGTGGAAGGTGTCATTCTGAAATCGCAGCAGAGATCATCTGACTTCGTCATCTGTTTTCACCTTCTTGCTCTCCTATTCTCGTAATGGTGTCTGCATATGATTTGTAGCCCTTGAAGTTGTTTTTCATATAAAACTTGAATCATGTCCATTAGTTGTTTCTACAAAGAGATATTCTTGAATGATTGACAGAAGGTCATCCTGATCGTCGTTTTCAATCTTCATTCATCTTCTTTTGATCCCGAAGCCAATCCTAGAGCTCTTTTGTCATCAAATCTTCATCGTAAACCTCCCGCTGACCTTCATAGCTCTCAAATCAATCTCAAATGCTTTTCAACTCATCCCGATTTCTCCTCAAGAGGCAGTGCCGAACTCTAAAATCCTGATTTTGACTCCAAATGACACAAAACACGAACCAACGCCCGGTAAACATAACTTGAGCTAAAATTGAGACTTGTAACACCTTAGAGCTAGGGAAAACCATCAAACCCGATCCCAACACGCATCAAATGCATGTCTAAATACGGACTTATCACGCTCCCACAAAGGACATAAGTTTCGTCAAACCCAAGCTCATGTATAGAATGTCATACAATTGAGCGCATTTGACTTTCCTCAAGTTGCATGAGTTTTGGAAATCTAAGTCTTCCTTGGGATTGTAGAAAGTGGTGTCTTTCAGCTGATTTAAAAAAATGATTTGATCTGTTTGACCTCTCTTAGTAAGTAAGTCCTCCAACTCTTTAATCTCAGCATATAACTTTCAACGTTCATTTTGAAGACGTTACGTTCAAGTTCAGAAGCTTTCAATTTTTTAGTTAAGTCACAGATTCACTCTTCTGAGTGTTCGAGTTTAGACTTGATATTGGTGTTCTCATTCTATGCATTGGTTAAACGAACCATGAGTTTTGCTTGTTCAATTAAGTGTTTTCTCATGGCACTTTCATTATTGGCTAGGCATGCTTCTAATTCCTTAATGGTTATATATGTTCACCCTAAAGAAAGATTGACCTATACTGTTTGTGTGTGTATAAAGAATACACACACACAATTATACATTAATATAATATGCATGAACAATAGAGTTGTCACATTTAATAGTATATTATACATACTCACTTAACTTCATTATGTGATAAATCTCATTAAATATAATACACCCTCCTCCGTCCCTTATAACTTTGTCAACTTTCCCCTTTTTATTGTCCCAAAAACTTTGTCACTAACCTTTTTAATCAATCAATTTGTGACTCATGTTATTTCTCTCTCCTCTGCACAAATTTCTGTCACACAGTTTTTACTTTATTATTCTACGTGCCGGTCAAACTTGGCAATCCTTTTGGGGACGGAGGGAGTAACACTTAAGATTATATATAATCATGTAAAGTTTTTATTTTAATCTACAACCAGTAACTTTCTTTATATGCGTTCTTAAAGTTAAAGGTACATAATCTCTTTGAATACTAAAATAAAAAAGCAAAATAAAATGTTCAACAAATCTAGACGTCTAGGTGGTCGATTAAGCGATCTGGGCGGGCAACTAGGCGTCCTAGGCGACTGATTAGTTCATCTAGGCGCCAAATCAAATAGTTGGAGCGCCTAGACTAAACTCAGAGCGCCCGGCAGGGGCGGACCCACCCTAGGGCTAGGGGGTGCCCGTGCCCCTGCGGTGATATATATATATATATATATATATATATATATATATATATATATATATATATATATATATATATATATATATATTGGAAAATTCTCAGGTCCAGCACCTCCCGGTCCGAACGCCGTCCGAACACCGCCGTTTAGGGCGGTTCTAGGTGGAATTTTTTGATGAAAGTTTTTGAGCATGTTCCTCATCAAGTCTAGTTTATTCATACCAAATTTCAGGTCAAAATTCGACCGGGAAGGCAGTCAAATAATTCGTTGAAGTTAACTGCGTTTTTCTATGTATAATTTGGCGCAGTTAACTTCAACGAATTATTTGACTGCCTTCCCGATCGAATTTTGAGCTGAAGTTTGGTATGGATAAACTAGACTTGATGAGGAACATGCTCAAAAAATTTCATCAAAATATTCCGCCGGGAACCGCCCCAAACGCCGGTGTTCGGACGGCGTTCGGACAGAAAAGTGCTGGACAGAAAAGTTATGCCGATTGAGACTTATGATGTTAATATTAGAGATGAGTTGAGGAGACGTTATTTGAGAAGAAGGTCCCTGCCAACCGCGTGACTTTAAATTTCCACAAAGTGATTTTAATGGGCGCAACAGATCATTCCAAAAACAATGGTTTTATTTAAATTTTATAAATTTGTTTATTGCTATACTCGTGATGCATATGATTTTTTTCTAGACTAGTATATCATTTCTTTGTTATTGTGCCCCTGCGAATCACGAGTCCTGGTTCCGCCACTGGCGCCCGGCCACCACCTAGCGCCTAGGCGGGGACTAGTCAGGCGGCTAGAGCAATTTTTAGAACAATGGGCAAAAGTAAAAACACAAGTATTACATAAAAAGAAAAATAATTACTTAAAATGTTTCTTGCAAAACAATGTGAAGCAAAATAATCAATAATTGCTTATAAATAATCTTTTATTGACAACAACAATTGTGTTGCTTTAAAAACTACAAATGGTCCTACTTAAAATTCATGTATATTCTTTTTAAACCTGACTTTGTTTAATATATTTTACTTATGTTCTATTTTTCCAAATTGTCAACAAAAATTAAACATTAGGCCTAGTTAATTGAACTTAAAAAGAAATACTAACACTATATATGCACAAAATCTTTTGGTCCTATTTTTTTCTCTATATATCTTCGGGCCTGGGGCGGTGGCCCCTGTTGCACCTCCCTCAGGACCGGCCCTGCTTAGCTTACCCTTTATAGGTAAGGATGCTAACTTATGTATTACATAAAAGTACAACAACAACAACAACATTCAAGTCTTAATCCCAAAAGAATTTGGGGTCGGCTAACATGAATCGATCTATGATATCGATGCCAAAAAGAGAAGACGGACAAGAAAAGGAAAAAAATGTAAGATAAAATGAATAAAATAAAGATAAATAAATATAAGATAACAATAACACAAGAATATAACAAAAATAAAAGATAAAAAAATAAAAGAGCATAAAAAAGTTAGAAGATAAAAATAACATAAGAATAAAAAAAGATAAGGAAGATAAACGATAAAAGAAAAAAGAGAGGAAAGGTAAACAAGACATCAATCGTCCACACGGATGTGCGCCCTCCACTTCGCTCTCTCCAAAGCCATACTCTCATCCAACCTAAGAAGACGCATATCAGTTCTGAACTTCTGATTACTCTAATCCAAGTCTGTTTGGGTCTTCCCTTCCCTCTCTTCTCTAACTCATCTCCCCACCCCTCAAATCGTCTAACATGTGCATCACTCGGTCTTCTACGCACATGTCCAAACCACCGCAAACGAGACTCTTGCATCTTATCTTCTATAGGTGCTACTCCCACCTTTTGTCTGATTACCTCATTCCTCAAGCGGTCTTTTCTGGTATGTCCACACATCCAACGCAACATACGCATCTCTGCTACACTCATCTTTTGAATACATGACATGTATTACATAAAAGTAAATGGGCTTAAATACTAGAGCACCCCAAATGAAATAACTAAAGCTATTACAACACAAATACATAGACACAATAAGATTGGACACGACTAAAATGTCCTAACATTTGTACTTTTATTATCGTCAATGACCATCACCGTATCCCCTTCCTATGTTGCATCAAGTGTTACCCTCTTCTTCATGAAAGCTGTCAGAACCCATGGGTTGTTCAATTGTAACACCACACCCTAGTCGCCCAGCTAAACAAAATGTGTTATTATAAGGAAGAAAACATACTAACAGTTTCTATTCCAAAAATTTCAAATGGTGAAATATAAGTCTTTCATTCTCATTGATACAATAAGAGCCTGTTTGGTAATGTTGAAATTGGTTGAATCGGTTGATTTTGGTAAAGTTTATGAAATTCTGTCTGAAGTGGTTGGATTGACTAATTTTGCTGAATTATGAAAAAATTATATTCAAAATATATTTTATTAATAAAATAAAAAATATCAAAAATAGCTAGAATGGTAATCTACAGTAGCTTCAGCCAATCCAACCATAAAAGTACCTCCAACCTTACTTATTTTGATTATTACATAACTTAGTGTGCGAAATAAAAAGTTACGTGTTTGGTGAAAAAGTTAGCTGTTCGACAAGACTGATAAGCTCAAAAACATGGTCACCAAACAAGTTTTGAATGATTGTACAAGGTCTATATTAATACCTGCAACTACAGCTAACAACACAAAGTGAGCCAAGCCCAGTACAATCACAAATAAAGACATTGGTTAGGTGACATATAATAAGAAAGAGCGAGTGGTATCAACGATATGACGATTCTCAAGTTTAGCAACACCATTTTTGAGGTGTGAATGCTAGGAGAGTGGTAGAGCATTCTCCCAAAGAAGATATGAATTGACTATAAGATGTTGAATGGAATTCTTGGAACTATCACTGACTTTGATAAAAACAACCAATCGAGTTTGAATTTTAGAACAAAAATTTGAAAACGGTTGAAATAATTCAAACCGTTATTTCATTAAAAGTGGTCATGCTTCTCAAGACGAGTCTTCCATAAATATGAGATAACAGAGCGTAGTGCAGATTTGACACACTTTTAGACCTCAACATAGATATGCAATGAATCACGAGGGGATGTGCCTCTATTGTTGACTCATCAGTTATATTTCACTCATGTGGCATAAAGAATCCATATACATGAAACCTTGTGATTTTTTGTTTTTGCTAATTAATTTTCACCATCACTAGTTTGTTTTTATTATACTGAGTTGGGGTACGATTACTCTGATTTCAGTAAAGCATACACTTAAAGAGTACATAACGAGTATGTGTGTTCTGGCTAGATCTTTAGAATGAATATGTTATTCTATCCTAGCTTGTGTTGTACATATATACTAGTGGTTCTCAAGGACACCCAAATCATTGTTGTTCCAAACAGAAATAACCATCATCTTTATCAAAGGTTGTGATGGTGATTGGAACTCCAATGGGCTTTGTCATCATATAATATTTTCTTTATTGTACCTACCCAATAGACAAAGAACATGCTCAAATGAGAACACTCATGAAAAAAATGCAACTCTTAGAAATGGGAAATGGGAAAATTCAGCTCTAAGAAGACGCTACTTTAAGAGCAATAATGTGAAGCACAAGAGTGTTTGCCTAGTAGTAATATGTATATGGAATACTCAAAGACTAGAGAGATTCACAATTGAGTGAGTACTTTCAAAGTTTTTCTTATACATTAAGCAAATGCATTCAACAATACCACATATCTGAAGTGAACTCTTTATTCTATATTTCTAACTAAGAATTTGAAAAAGATGAGCCTTTAGAGAAATATGGGCATTACATATGTGTTTGTGTGTGTTTGCCTGAGCATTTATATATACATGATTAGAGTTCAAAAGTGTTAGCATATTTAGTCTTTTGAGGATCTTTTGGAACAAAACACTGTTTTTCAAAATTAATAGGAAGATATCCAAGTAAAACATCGTACAATAGTTTAACAAACCGATAGCCAAAATGATCAACTAGGCTTCATGGCAAAGAACATGATGAAACGTCCATTCCTGATGCACTTAAACCTCACAAGCCCACAAACAGTGCATAGATCTTCAAGTTCGTTCTCATTCAAGAATATGTGACTTCCCGATACTTGAGCGAAATTCTGAACTCATAAAACACAATATATGAAACCCGCAAAATGTTGAGTCTAGAATAAAATATTTAAAATTTTAAATAATATGAATTGTACTCCATCTACAAGATTAAGGTTTTAGATCAGGTTATTCTAGTAGTTAATATCATGAAAACAACTAGTTTAAGCTTTTAGAACATATGGTTTCCAACAATTCTATAAATGGTTATGATTATAGAAAGATGCATGTCATTTCCCATAGAGAAAGGAGCAAATGTTGCTATGTGGTCACTATGGTAGATTGTGTGCAAAAAGTAAGGTGGTCTATGGAGGCATCAAATGGAAGAATATATGTGTGCAGCGTGCCATCTCCCATTAATACCAGCGGAAGGAACTTATGTCCCTGATACAATTCAACAGACAGAGACAAAATAATGCACTAACATGACGGAAGGGTCTCAAGAATGGGATAAGTGAATAGATGCCATCCACAACGTAAGTCGTGGCAACAAATAGCCCCCCAGGCCGTAATACACGACTTATCTCGGCTACCTGTGAAAGCAATAATATTTTAAAAAAACATAGATTAGTGCAGATATTCAAAACCCATATGATATGTTAATAATCATAATAATAATAATAATAACAGCAACAACAATAACAATAGTAATTGTTTTTACTCCAGGGGGCGTCTGGGGGAGGGGGCTGGAGTAAACTAGGCTGAAACTCACTTCATTGAGTTTCGAACCCGAGACCTCCCGTAAGGGAGAGTGCGTCGGCGACCAGCTGGGCTGGACCGCTTCCTCTAATAACAATAGTAACAACAAGAAGCACTTGTATCGACTAAAGGCAACAACAAGAAAAAACTTGGTATAAATTATAAGGTTTTTAAAAAAATATTACTAAAATAAAACATATTTACACAAATATGACTTCAATTACTACAATATAGTGTCATGCTCACTTAAGTTTAAAAAGTGAACATAAGTTCCTATAATTTAGTTACTACTATAGACTCTACTCACATTTTTGTAAACAGTTTTTAATATATTCATATATGTAATTATTTCTAAATTATAGCAATCAAGTATTATTTGTCGTGTGAATGAAGAAAGACAAGGATGTAAGAAGAAGTTCAGAGAAGCCTACCGCTAACGATGGTGACGGCCAACAATGCAAGGCAGCACCAGCATGCACAACATCCACACAGCTTGATGCAAATGGAAGTCTTGAGATATCAGCTCTAACCAATACTATGTTCCTTCGTGAAATCAAAGCCACATGTATTAAATTACATATGCAATGACAGAATGTTTACATAAGAATCCACAAAATGCATTCCTACTCCTTAGGAAAGTTCTCCTCTTGCTTGATGAATTCATAACATTGCTGCAACATGGCATTTGAAAAGTCCAAAGCAACAACAAGAGAAAACAATCCACTCTTGGCGAACTGTCTTGAAAACAAGCCACTCCCACAGCTAGCATCAATGATATTTCCACCCATGACTGGCTTAAGATACTCTTTCATCAACTCAAACTACAAGAAATCATTTCATTCCTATTACCATGTTAACAATATATGTTTATATATGTATATCTGCTACTTCCATTTCTGATTGAAGAAAGGTTTTAACACCAAAGCATCATTTTTTTCCTTTGTTATGTTTTTTCTTCCATTTTTCCTTCTAATATGTATTAAGGGTAACCAAACAACCATCTTAAGTTTTTTACGCTTTTCTGAATAAATTTACCACCTTATCAATCATAACTTTCTTGTTTAAACTAATTAAAGGAATAAATGTTAGATAGTATGTTAATAGCTTCCATGAAACCTCTTTTTCTGGGCCTGGAAAACCACCCCACAAAGAAAAGCTTTGCCGCCAACCCCTTTCATAAAGAAAGGATACCAAAGGAATCCTGATTCAACAAAGAGTGGAGTTACAACATGGCATGGAGTTAAATGAAGAGGAAATGACCAAAACAAAATGAGATGAAATGCAAAGCTGCAACATATGAAATATGAACTCTCTGATCCTTACTAAATAAAACCCAGAATTCAATCCCAACCGAGTGATGAATAATTGAATACCAATGTCATTTTTGGCAAATAAAATATTCAACCCCCAAAAAATGTTAGGCTTGTATGGCTAATATATATACATACTCTACGATTCCCGAACGGTATCAATAAATAAATTATGTCCTATCCCTTCCTATGGTTCAATCATTTATCTTTATATTGTTAAATCAACAATAATAGAAACCATATATTGTAATGGTATCTATCAAAACAACTACACTATGTTGTTGGGAACTTAGGACCTAATTAGTCTGAAATTCTCCAAAAAAAAATCAGCTCGCATGTCTGACTTTCTCCCAATTTTACATTCTCCAGAGAATACCACACATAACACACCTTTGAAAAATATGGAGGTGAACATAAATGTCATGTACTGCTCTCCCTTCTTTTCTTTTCCGATCGAAAATACTTTCACCAACTTTCTTTTCAAGTGGGGAATTGTGTTCTCCATTTTTTGAAATTGAAATTTTGTAGCAAGTTTGTTCACTCAGACCCAGGAATGTTCATATCATGAAAATAAAAGGCTGTGCTTTAATACCCACCTTCATTTTCTTTACTAAAAAAAGGAAAATCAGCAATGATACCTAAAAAGCTCGGTAGAAGCTGCAAGAGTTTCCCCATAAGCCTTGCCACCACTAGCAATTGTCAAGTCAAGATGTGTATCATTGCCGGAGTATGCCTTTCGGCAAGTTATACACTCTAAAGTGGGCTGAGAAACATAATTTCTGAAACAATAACTCATTCAATTATAATATCATGACAATAGTGTACTCAATAAGGTAGCTTCTCATTCGATCATTCCAAAAGATAAACTATAAAGAATAGATGAATACATAATAACTTACATATGGTTAACTGAAAAGTAACAACTTATATAACTTACTTGGATGGTTGTGAATCACCATTCCAAATGAAGGGGTCATAGCAAATGGGACAAGCTAGAATGTTGGTCCGTAAGTCCACCTCATTTTTCTCTATAAAACGATCCTAAAATTGTTGATCACCAATAAGATGATTATGACCACAAGTAACAATGTGAATACTATTATGGTAGAAACTTTTGGATGAATCCATATTTTGGCACTCATTTTGAGCATTTAGCCCTATAGCTCATAACAATTTTGGAAAGTAAAAGATATACTCTCTATTTGCTATCTTTTAGAGACCAAATATTAATAACTTCTAATGCCAAGGCAAAAATACAACACAACTTAGTATGATTAGAGCTCCCTTAGGTCCTACGTATAATGTATATTAGTGTGGTTCTAAATGTTTAAGGGCATTTTTTTGATAAAAAAAGTGAAGATCATTTTGGACGTTCTTAATTATTTTTTTGGTCAACAACAACAACTTTCAAGCCTTGTTCTCAAAAAAGCTTGGGGTCGGCTAACATGAATAGATATATGATGTCGGAGTTAAAAACATTCATTAGAGGAGAGAGACGAAAAATATAATCCATCCGTTCTTATTTTTAGCTTACTTATTTCATCCTTTACCTTATCAACCCTAAAGCACAACATTTAGAGAAACTCCACACATTACACTAAAACATACGAGTATGTAGTACTAAGTAACATTTTTCTACAAGTAAGACCATTAGTCTTTTTCTAAATTTGGAATTATTAAATCCTAGATAAAAAACTACAGAGTATTAACTTTTAGGGAGATTTACCGAAATAGAACCAAAACAAGATCATTTTCCCAAAATAGCACCTAATATTTAAAACTCTATAAATAAGACTTTTTATTTGTGGTTGGACAAAAAACACCCTTATAGGGTTGGAGTAGTTTTATCCCCAGGTCACCGTACTGCTGGACTGCTGGAAGATTTCAGCCAGTCACCACCGCCGGTCTGTTGCCACATTCCCGCCGCCGGAGTTCACTGCCGCCACCGACGGCCTGACCATAGTTAGGCAAGGGAACTAGGGATCGGAGGAATTAATTATATTAAGTGTAGATATGTAATGTTTAGTCCTATTAGGTGTAATGTTTAACGCACTTTGTACTTCTTTTAGTCCTATTTAGGGAATTCACTCAATTTTTATTCTTCACTTATGGCAGATGGAATCCTTAGTTTTATTTATTTACATAACTATGTTTTTTTGTATTTGCACTAGTGCATCATTTGTGGATGAAGAATTGTAAAAAATACAAGTAGCGCAATAATTCATGATTTCTTAAATGACAAAGGGTCAAAGGGTGTAGATATAAATTTAATTTGAGCATAACCATATCATTTTCCAAGCATCATCTGCTATTATATTTACAAAGAGAGACAATAAACGTAATCTCAAATACAAGGAACAACTTTCGCAAATCTGTAAACGGTGCACGAGTTAAAAAAAAACAGTCAAAAAGCGATATCATTTCAAAGTCTCCTTGAATAACTAAAAGGAAAACATAGAAGGTTTACCGGTTTGTCATCCACGGAGGCGGTTGATGAAGTGATAATTCTAGCTGCAGAAAGTCGAGTAGCTTTAGAAGACAAGGGAGACACTTTTTTGAAAAGAGAGCAAAATCTGAAGCTGTAACAGAATGGACCTGACACCAGCGGAGCTGATAAGTAAACCAAAGCAGTTGTCGCCATTGGCCAAACTCCCCAGAGCACGGCTTTGCAGTTTGATTCGGGTTGATGGAGAGCTATGGAAGATTATAAAGTATAACTGGCGAGTTACATCAATGTGGTGGTTGAAGTTTGAAGTGATAGAACCTGAACAAGTTTTATAATTTCATTCACTTACTCTATGTAAATATGAGACATTACTATTGTTATGGTGCACAAAAATTGTGTGACACATACTATACTTCACGGAATGCGGGAGTAGAACTCCATCATTTTGAGGAACCCAATTGAGTACATGCTTATCACGCATAGATATGGGTCATATGACACATGAAGGAAGGGAGACAGGGGAGGCTGGAGGTAGCCCCCCAAAGTTGTGATGTACACACACACATAATTTATAGATAGTAAAAAATAGTGAAATTTTAAGATTTGGCCCCAAGTTATAAATTCTTTAAGTCCTGACCCCAACCTATCATTCTGGCTCTGCCACTGGGCACATGTTGTATTCGCTTTTCGATACGCATTCGATAACGATACTCGTTGATTCACATATTTTAGTATTGTACATATCAAGCCTCTTATATTATTCTATAAAAGTATTTGTCCTATTTTTCATGAAAGAAAAAATTTAGACGCCATATTCCTAGACCGATACACATATTTAAAACAATACATACATGTATGATAATATAGAAGATGTATGAGTATTGAAACTACTTATCTTTCAAATGATGGATTGAATTTGAAATCTCTATTGTTAAATAATGTGACTAAATATAGTGTCAAAAATATAAGGGAAAACTATCATATAGACCCTCATACTATAGTCAAAATGTCAATTAGGTCCTCACACTTCGAAAACACCCAATTGAAACCCCAAACTCTTTAAAAATACTCAATTGGGCCTATTACCCGGTAGAATCTCGGTTTACCGGTTAACAACCCGCGTGGTAGCCTACGTTGCAATTTTTTTCTTTTCCCTTTTCTGTTTCTCTTTCTTTTTCCTTTTTTCTTTCCTTTTTCTCTTTTCTTCTTCTCTTCTCTCTTTCTTCTACGCTCGCCCCAGGTCACGACCTCTTCTTCTCTTCCATCTTTCTTCAACACTCGCCCCATGTCACGACCTTCTCCAAGCATCACCGCCGCCCACCAGAAGTCCACCACACTTGTGCCGCCGGCAGACTTCACCGCACCCAGACGCACGCCCTTCACTACACTCTATCGCTACAGTGTCGCCCTTCACTTTACTCCAGAAATCGGCGAACTCTAGCAACGGCCGCAGTCACCAGAGATGGCCGCCGCACTTCCCGACGGTGGTAGGCGCAGTTATCGGCGGTGAAGACAAACCTTGAATCCCCCCTATTTGAAAGGGCATCTGTGGGATACAAGAAATTGAAGAAGGAAGATGGCGCATGGAGTGAGTTCGGTGTGCAGAATGTAGTGGCCAGCGCAAGGGCGGTGGCCGGCAGTGCTACTGGGAAGAAGTCTACAGAGGGCCTGTGCAGAAGAGAAGATAGAAAGAGGAAAGGAGAAGAGAAAGAGAAAGGAGAAAAAAGAAAGAGACAAGAAAAGGAAACAACAATAACAACCACGCCTTAATCCCAAAAAAAATTAGGGTCAGATAACATGAATCGATCTATAATATAGATGACAAACAGAGAAGACAGACAAGAAGGGGAAGAAAAAAAGTAAAATAAAACGAATAAAATAAAGATAAATAAATATAAGATAACAATAAAACAAGAATATAAGAAAGATAAAAGATAAAAAATAAAAAAACATAAAAAACTAGAAGATAAAAATAACATAAGATATAAAAAGATAAATAAGATAAATGATAAAATAAAAAAGAGAGGAAAGGTAGAAAAGACATCAATCGTCCACACGGATGTGCGCCCTCCAATTTGCTTTCTCCAAAGTCATACTCTCATCCAACCCAAGAAGACACATATCAGTTCTGATTCCTCTAATCCAAGTCTGTTTGGGTCTTTCCCTCCCTCTCTTCTCTGTCTCTTCTTGATAAGCACAATAATTACTTATGTTTTACATAGGTAATTATATTTATCTGTACAAAAATATAGAGCGAAAACAGATAAATATTCCAAAATGTGCAAAAATGTGGAATATGGCTAGGAGCGACAAATACAGGGTCAAAAGGGATTGAAAATCGGCACTTCTGTATAAATCACGGGCATGAAATTGAGAAGAAGAAGCAAGTAAATAATTTGGCGTAGTGACCGGCGCTGGTCAGGCCAGAACCGGCGCCGGTTGGATCTTAATTTCCGAAAAAAAAAAATGCATGACCAGCGCCGGTCAAGCCAGAACCGGCGCCGGTTGGGTCTGATTCTGCTAAAACACAGCAACGTGCAAGACGATTATTGATGGGAAAACTTCATCTTCCTTAATGTTAATCAAATATTGCTTCCATACCTGATTGTTGGGTTCGAATAGACTAAAAGATGTCATTCTTCAGCCTATACAAACTCCCCCATTCATCATGCAAAGGACATTCCATTCCATAGATTAATTCATAGCTTTTATATTTTGTTCTTGCTATTTTTCTTCAAGTTCTTTGGAGAAGAAGCTATTTCTCTCCTCTACAATTCGTTCTAGGTAGTTTTCTTGTATGTTATTGTATTTATTTGTTCTTAGTTACACTTTTGTAATTAATATGAGCATTAGAGGTTAAATTCTTAGCTAAGGCTAGAGATGAACTTCTATGCCCACTAGGTGTTTGATAAAAGTTCTAAACTAATAAATTGTGATTTATCCTTTATATATTGATTGTTTATGACTATGATGTACAACATAGAAGTATGTTAAATTTAGTTTATACTTGCAATTAACGTTGAAGTCTAAACCATGAACATTAAAGGATAAACATATATAGTACCGAGAATAGAAATATATCCGGTCTTATATGATACGGGTGTGATGTCTTGATATTCAACGGGGTTTTCGGTAGATGAATGTAAGCCGTGACGGGACTTACACGTAACGAAAACCACACTCTCGCTGCCTTAACCGGAGTTGAGAATATATTAGCGACATCGTATTCATAATTATTGGTAAAGAACTAATATTCAACCCTATTAAAGCATTTAAGTGATTCCCGAAACCTTAGTTGTTGTTATTATTCATCTTAAACTTAAAGTTAGTTAACGATTATCTTCTTGAACAAAGAGTGAAAAAACCAAAAATATAAACCCAAATTAAAATCCCTACACTTTACTCATTTATTTTATTTAAAGTCACCTACTCTCAGACTAAATTAAACAACGTTTCCTTGTGGATTCGACCCGGTATTTTACCGGAATTTATTACTATATCGGCACTTGTACACTTGCAAGTTTAGCCCAGTCACTTCTCCCCACCCCTGAAGTCGTCTAACAGGTGCATCACTCGGTCTTCTACGCACATGCCCAAACCACCACAAACGAGACTCCTGCATCTTATCTTCTATAGGTGGTACTCCCACCTTTTGTCTGATTATCTCATTCCTAAAACGGTCTTTTTTGGTATGTCCACACATCCAACGCAACATACGCATCTCTACCACACTCATCTTTTGAATGTGGCATTGATTCACCGTCCAACACTCCACGCCATACATTAATGCAGGTCTAATTGTTGTTCGATAAAATTAACCTTTCAGTCTGGTCAGGAATCCTGAAGCACTCTTCCATTTCATCCACCCAGCTCTTATTCTATGGCATACATCTCCATCTAATTCACCATCCAACTGAATCATGGAGCCCAAATAACGGAACATATCACACACCGGTATCTCCTTACCATCAAGAGTAATCCCATTGTTGCTACTACTTCTACCTCCACCAAACTTGCACTCCATATACTCAGTCTTGCTTCGGCTCAGTCTGAAACATTTGGTCTCCAATGTTTGTCGCCATACTTCCAACTTTGCTTTAACACCGGATTGTGTCTCATCAATCAATACAATATCGTCGACAAACATCATGCACCATGGTATATCTTCTTGAATTGACTTCGTAAGTTCATCCATGACTATAGCAAATAAGAAAGGACTCAGAGCAGATCCTTGGTGCACTCCGATAGTAATAGGCAACTCTGCGGTCCTCCCTACACTAGTGCGGACATTTGTACTACAAGCATCATTCATATCCATGATGATACTGATATACTTACGTGATATGCCTTTTCTAGTTAAGGCCCACCAAAGGACTTCTCGAGGTACCCTATCATATGCCTTTTCTAAGTCAATGAACACCAAATGCAGATCCTTTTTAGTGTCTCTATATTTCTCCACAATTTGACTAAGAAGATGAATGATCTCAGTTGCTGAGCATCCAGGCATAAAACCAAATTGATTCTCCGAAATTTTCACACCTTTACGAAATCTTTGCTCAATCACTCGCTCCCAAAGTTTCATAGTGTGACTCATAAGCTTAATCCCTCGATAGTTAGCACATTCTTGTACATCACCCTTATTTTTAAATAAGGCAATGAGAGTACTTTTCCAACAACTCACTGACATTTTGTTGTTTCTCCAAATCACGTTGATTTCTTCCGAACTTCTCCAAGCCTCAATCGATGCCTTTCTCTCCCAAACTTCTCCAAGCCTCAATCGGTATGCCACCTAGGTCCACTGATTTCTTCCGCCCCATTTTTCTTATAGCCTCTTTAACTTCTGTTGTTTGAATCCTTCTCACGAAGTTCCGATTTACCATACACTCTGGTATAGTAAGATCATCAATACCTTGCACTTTATTCCCGTTGAAGAAGGTATCAAAGTATGACCTCCGCCTCTCTTTTATTTCTTCGTCCTCCATCAGTACCCTTTGATTGACATCCTTCACACACTTAAGTTTTCCGATATCTTGAGTCATACGGTCACGAAGGCGAGCAAGTATGTAGATATCTTTTTCTCCTTCCTTAGAATCCAACTTTACATACAATTCTTTGTTCACTTTTCCTCTAGCTTCCTTCACAGCTTTCTTCGTTCTTCTTCTAGCCTCCTTGTACTCCTCTACGTTCTTGTCGCTTCAACTTTTTCCCAATTTCTTATATCATTCCCTTTTGGTCCTTATTGCTTGTTTCACCTCATCATTCCACCAAGACGTGTCCTTTTTTGGTGGCAGACATCCTTTAGATTCTCCGAGTATTTCCTTCGCCCTTTTGTTGATGGTGGACTCCATTGATAACCACACATCATCCACATGTGCGTCATTATCAATAGACCATACATCTTCCTCCAACATTTTGTGTGCAAAACTTTTTTGGAGATTCCCCTTGAGCCTCCATCATTTTATCTTTGGCTCCCCTTGTACTTTAACTCGTCTCCTCTTTTTACCTTGAAAATCAAGCACAAGCATCCTATGCTAGGTGACAACACTCTCACCTGGTATAACCTTACAATCAGTGTAGCTAGGAAAAGGAGAATTCCATGTGGGCTGCCACGTGGACTGCCACATGGGCCGTTAACCGGGAACCTGAAACCTACCTGTTAAAAAAGCTAAATTGACCGGTTTTTAAGAGTTCGGGAGCTCAATTGGGTGTTTTTCAGGTAGGAGGGTCTAATCGCCATTTTCGCTATAGTACAAGGACCTATTTGATAGTTTTCCAAAACATAAATGCTGAGTCTACATTATTAAATTTAAAGGTTTAAGTATGAGTATGATTATGAGTATAATATTTCAAATTTCAGATTTTAATTTTGATTTTTTTTTACCCCGGAAGGCACAAATTTTAGTTTTGAACTTTTACATGATTATGCGCGATTGGTACCCTTTGTTTATTTATGAAGCATTCATTAGAATAAAATTATTGTACATACATACATGCATGCATACACACATGCATACGTACACAGATACATGCATACATGCATACATCCAAACACACATACACATACACATACACATACATACATACGTACGTACGTACGTACATACGTACGTACATACATACATACATACATACATACATACATACACGCACACATACATACACGCACACATACATACATACACGCACACACACATACGCACACATACGCACACGCACACACACACATACACATACACACACATACACACACATACACACACATACATACACATACATACATACATACATACATACATACATACATACATACATGCATGCATGCATGCATACATACATGCATGCATACATACATACATGCATAAAGAAAAATACTTTATTTTAAGCTCATATGTTCACTCGAGGTAAACAAAAATTAAACCCACATTTTTCTTCATGATCTGGGGAACGGCGTTAGGTTTAGAAACTAATTTATTTTTATAAAAATAAAGATACATAAAAGTAAGTTATATAGTACAACAAGATATATAAAATTTATCCTTATATTTTATAAGTGATTGATAGACTCGAGTCCGGATCGAACGGAACATCACTTTGTTTTAACTCGGCTTGAATAACTATTCGAACTCAAAATCTAGCACGTGTTCGAGTTTAAAACTCGTTAAACTCGGGTCGTTAAATTAGATAGGAAAGCAAGCTCGATTCTATAACAATTCTAAGCTAAACCTTAGAATTCCCTAAGGGATAAGGCTCAAATTGGACACTGTGGTTTCATTAGAATCTCATATTGAACACTAAGGTTTTAAGTAGACCAAATTGGATACTATGGTTACATATGTATCTCATATTGGATATTGAAATTTCATAATTCATAGTTTTTGGACACTCACTTATGATTCTCTTCTTCCTTTAATAAAAATCGTTAGTCTTACATTTCCTTTCCTTGTTGGTGAAAGTAAACAAATTTAATTACGTATATAATTTTGGAAAATTTAACTTGAGGTTTTAGAATATATAATTTGATTTTAATTAATAACTTCTTATATTTAACAATTTAAAAATATATTTAGAACTTTTCATTCATATGATTTTTATGGAACTTTAAGAAATATCGATTTGTTAAATTGTACTAAATTTAAAGAATTCAATTACATTAT